CTGCAGGGAGAAGGCAGAAGAAAGCAAAATCCCCCATGAACAACCTCGTCGAGGTCAAAGTCTGACAGTATGCTAGGCAGCGCTGCCTCCTTAGTTTTCAAGAACGTTATGGGAAGAATGAAGGATCCAGGGCTGTGTGTGTGGGGCACACTCAGCACATAGAAGATATCGGTGTGGGGGTCACCTGCGTGGCTCGATGGGCCAAGCATCTGACTCTTGGTTTCGGCTCAGGTCCTGATCTTGTGGGTTTCGTGAGTCTGAGCCCTGAGTTGGGCTCTGTGCTGGCAGTGGAGAGCCCGCTTGGGATTCTCAATGTCTCCCCCCCCTCTCTTCCCCTCCTGCACTCGCACTGTCCTGTCTGTCTCCAAATGAATAAATAAAAACTTCAAAACAACACCAATAAAAAAAGATACAGGTTTTGGTGCGACTGCCGAAATTTTTCTACCAACAGCTAGTATATCTAACGAACCGGGAGAGGCGTTGTTTTTCCTATAAAATCCTTTCCCTGCAGGTTTGCCGATCTTCGCATCTAAATTCTCTGTTCACCCATACTGACAACTTCAGCATCTACATCTTCTTCCCCTTCTAATACCGATACCGCCCACGGTCAGACACAAATACATCACTCCTGGCAGAAGCTCCTTGCCTCAAGATACTAACAGAATCAGAGAGGAACTGGGACAACCACATGTTAGATTCAAAGAAACATCAAGCAACAGAGAGACCTAGAGGACTGCATTCTCCGCTCCATCACTACGACCAGACTTCAGGGCACCCGACAACCAAATGGTAGGAGAAGCTCAAAACAAGCTCCTTCGCTTCAGCTCCCTGGAGGATGGGATCGCCGGTTTGTTTTTTCTCTGATATATTCTAAGCACCCAGAACAGTGCCTGCTATACACAGGTGCTCAATAAATACCTGCGAAACGAATCAGTCAGACTACACCTAATTTGGCTTTGAAAACTAGAAACCTTGAAACCGGGTAACTAATGGCTCCACTTGCATACAACGCTTTTGAGATGACCGGGTTCCTTCCTGGCGCATTTTCACCTCAGCAACTCTGAGTAGTTAGAAAAGTAGACAAAACAACTGGGACCATGGCAAGTCTGCTGTCAATCTCTGGGGCTGCTTTACAAGAGAGGGGAAAGCAGAAATGAGGTTGCCTCTAAGAGTTAAACCTTGAGATAAACACAGCATGAATCAGGGCGCAGACGCACCGGAGAAAAGCAACTGTATGGGAGAGATCTTAGGTATAAAGGGGGAGACAGTGCCCTCAGGGGCCCTTGGAGGAAGCGGCAGAAGCTCAGGAGGCCAACTTTCAATGTCTGGGGTTCCTCTGACAAAACCGTTCCCAAGTGACTTTAGCATTGTGCCATTAATCTTTTGTGTTCTTCACCTTCCTTGGTTTTATTTTCTTGCAAAACTTCTGACTATACTAGGGAAACCCCAACCCAGTTGACTGGTGTGGCTGTGTCACAATGAAAATACCTTTTAAGGGGCATCTGGGTGGCTCAGTAGGTGAAGGACCTTGATTTTGGCTCAGGTCATGATCTCACGGTTTGTGGGACTGAGCCCCGTGGTGGGCTAAAAACATCCCAGCAGAATAGCAGCCAATGACCCTGGTGTGTTTGGTTTTACCAACATCCAAAATATGCAAAGGGATTTTTAGCAGTCAATCCAGTCTTGCTAAAAAAATTAAATGGCTTCTACAGTCCTTTAAGTGCTGGGAGCCTCTAAACTCTAGAACTATTATTGTTTAAACTTAGAACTCAGCTACATAATTATGGCCCAAGAAAGGGAGAGAAAATTTAACATCTCAAACTATGGTCAGTGGGAAGTGTTTTAAGGGAACCCAGTTGAGGAAAATTCAAAACCTTGGTTTATATGTTAATATCAATAAAAGCTGAGGGGCGCTTGGGTGGCTCAGTAGGTTGGGTGTTTCCGACTCTTGATTTCGGCTCAGGTCATGATCTCTCGGTTCGTGGGTTCAAACCCCGAACTGTGGGCTTGGGATTCTCTCTCCTCTCTCTGCCCCTTCCCAACTCGCTCGTGTGTGTGTTCGTGTGTGTGTGTGTGTGTATGTGTGTGTGTGCACTCCACTCTCTCTCTCTCTCTCAAAATAAATAAACTTAAAAGAAAGAATTAAAACAAAATACATTTCTACTTTAATTGAATTTACCCAGGAAAATTTTTCAAGAGATGTGTGTACCTCTGGATTAGAGGCTTTCCTACCATAACCAGAAGCCCTTCGCTGTCAAAATTAACTCAATCGTATTGCATGTATAATGATCCCACAAAGACCTGAACAGCATGAGCCTGGCCCATCCTTCAGAGTGGTGAGGCATCGTGATGCTCTGCACCCACAGTGAAGTTTGCTTCCTTGAGGTTTGGGCGTTTCGAATAATGCCAGCTGGATCCTGGAACAAACTCAGCACATAAGCAAAATTCCTAAATTATATCAGAAAATCCCAATTAGAGAACAGAGACCTGGATCCAAAACAATATTTTAAGGAAATTAAACATCTAATCTGAGTCAAGTGGCTTCTTTAGGAAATACCCTGGTGTGAGTCTTATCCTTTTTCTGGCAAAGGCACAGTTTGGCGGACGTGAGGGTGGTAACTGCCCAACACTCAATGGCTCCTTCAGATTGAAATCAGATGTAGGCAACCTTCTCTATTTAGGCTGATTAAACACACAGATGAAACCAGGTAATTACAAATGCATGTGCCGGGGAGTGGAAAGAAGGGACAGAGTGGGAACTTCTTTATTTTTTAAAGTGTTTTTCAAAGATGGGAACAATTTTATAAATAAAAAAGTGGAACTGTGCCAGATAGAGAAACAGATGTTTTGGATCACGAAGCTGCTGGGAATTGAGCTCTCTTGCCTAGCACCGCCGGGTTCTGACCCAGGATTCAAGAGCTCTGGCTAGTTTTACTTCTGGTCCCACTCTGAAGCTGTTCCATTCCATTCATTTACCACCCACCCTAGGGACAGAAACAACCTTCAGCTGTAGGAAAGTACAACAAAGAGCAATTCAAATGAGCTGGGGGGGGGCACGCGGGTAGGGAAGGACTACATATTTTTATTGCTCTTAACATTGCACTGTAATGAATGTGCAGGAACTTTAGCATGAGTGTTCAATCAACAAAAATCTCCAAAGTGCATATTCCTTTGGAAAGGTTCATTAGGAAACAGACAAAGCAGTTTCCATTAATATATTTCTCTTGGGTAGCTCTACCAAATTTCCTGCTGGTGCATCCATGCTGGCAAGATGGATGCCTGACCAGGGGCGCTCCGCCACTCAACAGTCACACTTCTGGGGACAGTGGAACGTGTAGAATCTTATGAGTACCCTAATGTGGAACATTTTAAGTTTCTAAGCTTTCAGCTGTTCACAAAGGTGGCAAGTGCAAACTGTGTCTAATACCCAGGGGTATATCAACGATGGTCTAAACTCATTTTCTATTTTTCAATGTATGCTTTTTAAATTCAGGCTAGTATTTCCTCACTTCTTTCTTTCCCTCCTCCCTCCTTTCCTTTTCCGTTCTCTTTCTTTCTCCCATCCATCCATCCATCCATCCATCCATCCATCCACCATATAACTTGAGTTTCCCTTCCAGTCCTCTGAAGAATGATACTGGCAACGGAATTACTAGTGTAGAAGGCTCAAGAATACCATTTCATAGCAAATTTCACTCCCTAAATACGTGGCAAAGTCCTCCTTAGTTGTGATATTATTATTCCTTTATTGGCATAGGGAATATTTTCCCCCTGATCCAAAAAATGGAAGTCAGCCATGGACCAAAGTTATGTGACTGAGGCTGTGACTCAGAGGAAGAATATGAAACTGAATAAAACGCTCCCTTTTGCTAAATGTGCTAATACTACAGACAGAAAGGAAACTGGTGATCTGAAGCTTTTTAATGCCAGAGCTGTGGGTCAAAGATTGTTGCTACTGTGTTCCATACCTGCAACTCTCTTCATCCCTAAGGACAAAATTATTTCCTCCTTCTTATTTTAGATACACAGAGAATGGTATTTCATAGCCCCACCTGCAAAATAAAATCCTTTCTGGTTCTTACTGTTGGAAATTCCTTTTCCAGTAAATAAAACATGTTCTCCTGATTGCTCTAGGCTTCTCTGAGTCGACAGTCACCTAAAAGTCTCCCCAAAGAGTCTAGCGTGCAAATGATGCTCAATGAACAAAGTAGGATGATTACAATCAAAAGTCCCAAAATGTAAAGAACTCTACCACACACTGACTTAAATCCACAGCAGGATCACATCCTACTTGTACAACGCACGGCAAATTTAAAACCACCGTCAAAAACATTTTGCAGCTCAGAAAACTGAGGCCCGAAGAATAAATAACTTGTACAGTAAACGATTAGCCTCAAGTCACACAGATATGAAATTACATAGCCCAGGTCTGATTGACCCAGGTTTTTGGACTGCAAATCAAACACATTTCCCAAAGCTCCACACTCAGTCCATTTCAGACACTTCTTACAGCCTGTTTTAGCAGGAAATCAGGTTAGAAGGGTGCTTAATTGCTGAAAGCAGAGACAGGCTGGCACAGGAAGCTAGCGCACCAAAGACAAGGTATCAGGGTGTGCAGTGAAAAATGGCTTCCAGCTTTGAGTGGCTTCAGTCAGCCTGTCTTGGGTTTTACTTCCAACTTGGCCATTTAGTGGCCTTAAAACCACAGTCAAGTTACTTAGGTGAGACAGTGAAGGGACAGCACCTGCAACACAGGTAATAACTGCATGCTGTTCAGGAGGATGCGAGTGCTGAGCACAGTGCCTGATGTTCAGGAAGTCTTGAATAAAATGGCAGAAAGTCACTTTTGGCACTGGCCAGAAGACACTATCTACAATCCTTGCATGGTACAATCTTTAGAATTAGAAGGCTCACTGCCCCATGCCTCCCAGCACAGCTACTGACGGCAACATCGTAGAAAAAACATTAGCTTACCTCCCCTTACGCTTATTCAGTGACCA